TCGCGATTTGATTAAGAGATTTGATTTTCCTTTCTTCTATTTTCTTTTCTTTTCTTTTTTTTTTTTCTTTTTTTTTATTTTTCTTTTTTTTCTCTTCCTTTTTCTTCTTCCTTACAACGCATAAGCTTTCTAAGATCATTTAATGACAATAATATACGTATATTAATTAATTAATCAATAAAATGATAAATTAATAAATTGTTATTAACGTGTATTATTTTTCGTTTTAAATTTTAATATAAAAAGAGAGAGAGAGAGAGAGAGAGAGAGAGAGAGAGAGAAGAAGAGAGAATAGAGAAAATGAAGATTATGACAGAAAGAAATTAAGGAAAAGAAAAAAAAAAAGGAAATAAAAAGAAAAATAAGAAAGTTCATAGTTTCATTAGCAATTTAATTTCTTGTTCCTCTGTAATAAAGAAAATAGAGAAAGAAAGAAACAGAGAGTGAGAGAGAGAGAGAGAGAGAAAGAGAGAAAGAGAGAAAGAGAGAGAAAGAGAGAAAGAGAGAAAGAGAAAGATGAGTACAAATGGAACACAAGCGAGTTCATCTTTACCGTGTCAACCTACAAGAAGAAGATAAAGGAGGCAAGCTGCCCGTTGAACTACGACTCGTAGAGAACGTGAAGAGCCCGAAACCAAGAATGCGCTTTCGAGTTTATTGCCGCATAGTTTTGCCTATTCCCCTCCAACCATCCACCCATCCATCCCTCCTTACCCTCCCAGCCCCCATGGGATATCGAGCTTTTAAGCGTTTCGACCATTACACCGTAAACTTGCCTTTCCAAATTTCACTTTAGAAATATATACCATTGGTATTATGTCGGAACGAACACGTTACGTACTTCCTTATCGTATATCTTTTCACCATAACGACGATAATTTTATTTCGATTTTTTTTTATTTCTTTTTTTTTTTTTATATATATATATATATACATATATATCTTTTATATAATAAAAAAGAAAACGAAAAAGAAAGAGTTAATTCTTTTTTCATTCACGATCATTCAAAATACAAGACGAGCGAGCGAGAGAGAGAGAGAGAGAGAGAGAGAGAGAGAGAGAGAGAGAGAGAGAGAGAGAGAGAGAGAGAGAGAGAGAGAGAGAGAGAGAGATAGAGAGCTCATGGATGATTTTAAAAAAAGAGGAGAAAAAAAAACTATTACCATTTTACGAGACCTTACGTTCTTCTCTTTTATTTTTTTCTTTTTTTTTTTTTCCTTTTTTTTCTCTATTTCTTTTTAGACCAATCAATCTTCCCTCAGACTCGTTATAATAATTAAAGGCCATTCTGTATAATGAATTAAATTAATTTATATAATAAATCGATATCTAATGACAATAAATCGTATAACAAAAATCGATCCGTTTATATCGACGATTTATTTATTTATTTATTTTTTTTTCATTCTAATCGAAGAGGTAGAGGTGCCGGGGATGTGTGATTATGACGTCAGAATGTAAATCGTATCATTTAATTAACAATTATACGGTATCAGAATAAGTTTCATTATTATTCGATTCATTATGTTTTTTCCTTATTCCCAGAATTTTTTTTCTCCTCCTCCTCCTCCTCCTCCTTCTCTTTTCTCTCTCTCTCTCTCTCTCTCTCTCTCTCTCTCTCTCTTTTCTTTTTCCTCTTTTTAATATCCGTAACGTAGAGTAACGCAGAGCTAGCCACAGACAGACAGACCTGACGCATTTAATTACAAGATTGCACTTACTTAAATCTAGATCACGCGATGGCGAACAAAACTGTTCGTTCACAATAAGCACGAAAGCAAGCGCATTCTTAGCCGTAGTGAGTAGGAAGTTTGAATGGCAGCCGAGGAGCGTGCGAGTTACACACGAGTTCTCTTCTCTTCTCTTCTCTTCTCTTCTCTTCTCTTCTCATCTCATCTCATCTCATCTCTTCTCTTTCACTCGTCGAGAATTTAAATTGGGAAAATCGAGCTCCACTTAACGCTTCGCATACCTTCTTCACTGCCATTGAAAATTTCTCGAACAATGCATGTCATTACAGTCACAAACGTTATTCTCCTTACTTTACAACGATATCTACACATATATATATATATGTGTGTGTGTGTGTGTGTGTGTGTGTGTGTGTGTATGTATTGTGTGCATACACATATAGATATAAATATATATTTGATCTAGTCAATGTGTTATTTACATTTTATATTTTATACAAAAAATTTCATTCCAAATATTTATATTAGATTTATTTTTCAACAATTTTGATAGTAGTAGTAGTAGTAGTAGTAGTAGTAGTAGTTGTTGTTGTTGTTGTTGTTGTTGTTGTTGTTGTTGTAGTAGTAGTACCAGTAATAGTACCAGTAGTAATTGTAGTAGTAATAATAGTAGTACTTGTAGTAGTTGCAGTTGTAATTGTAGCAGTAGTAGTAGTAACAGTACCAGTAGTAATTGTAGTAGTAGTAGTAGTAATAGTACTTGTAGTAGTTGCAGTTGTTGCAGTAGGAGATGGTAGCAGGTGACTCG